CCTGGGCTTTGCCAACCGGGTTATGCTATGGGTCCCAAGCGATGGGTTTGGGGTGGTTTACCGTGGGCCGTGTGCCTTGTGGGCCTATCCATGTCAACAAACAACAAATTTTAAACCATCCGAACTAATAATCTAATCTCATACCCAATCTTTCCAAAAACAAACACCCCCTTATGGGTAACTAGTTGCGAAATCCAAATCCAATTAGATATTTCTCACACGTACTAGAAAGTTGGTCAGCACAGCTAGCGTCGATAAGCAGCGAAAGTACTGGAACAATCCGCTACTTCCTATAAATACCCTACACGTCCCTTCCCTCTCTCGTCGCACCACATTTACGTGTGAAAATTTATCGGTATCCAAACAGCAACAATGATTCATCCCACTAAAAACATCACCACTAATAACATTAATGCATTAAAAAAGTTAAAAAAAAAAAAAAACACAACTCCAAAACTAAAACATCACATCATTAATGACGGAACCCACTGCCACCTAATTAGTGGAGCACTAATTAGTGCTCCCAAGCATTTTTCATCCAAACGGAGTCCTTGACTCTCCCAAAAATCACATCCCTGAATTCTTTCCTTGAATTCCGATCTGATATAGAACCACGCAGCAAGTAAGATGTCGATGATCCCAAGCTTCTTCGGCAACGGAAAAAGCAGCATTTTCGATCCCTTCCCTCTCGACCCCTTCAGAAACTTTCCATTCTCCGAATTTTCCCGGGAAAATTCTGCAATAGCGAACGCTTGCGTGGACTGGAAGGAAACTCCCGAAGCTCACTTGTTCAAGGCCGATCTACCGGGGCTGGAGAAGGAGGAAGTGAAGGTGGAGATCGAGGACGACAGAGTTCTGCTGATTAGCGGAGAGAGAAAGGTGGAGAAGGAGGAGAAGAACGATACGTGGCACCGTGTGGAGCGCAGTAGCGGGAAGTTCATGAGGAGGTTCAGGCTGCCGGAAAACGCGAAGATGGATCAAGTGAAGGCTTCCATGGAGAACGGAGTTCTGACTGTAACGATTCCAAAGGAGGAAGTCAAGAAACCTGAAATCAAGTCTATTGATATTTCTGGTTAGAATTTATATCACTGTGAATATGAATGTTTTGTGGTTCACTGTTTGTCTAAACCATGCTTTATGATGTAATTGGTATGCTTACCTACGTTCTAATAATTACAATTTTTGAGTTTTATTGTTGAATGACGTTGTTTGTTTGTGCAGTTACGTTTATACTAGGCTTGTTTGAGAAGGGTGTGATTTTAGAATTTTTGGATAACAAGGCTTGAATTGTGAGGTGAAGAGGGGAAAAAAATGTGAAAAAGGAAAATAAATCATTATCACTCTGTTTGATTTTAATTTTCAAAATTCATTTTACAAAAAAAATGATTTTTTTCATTTTTCATTTATTTTTTTGTTTTTATTAATTTTTTTAATATTTTAAATAATTTTTTAAATATTTAGACACTTAACATAAATATATTTAAAAAATATAATATTTGTAAAAAAAAATTAAAAATTCATTAAATATCATAAATATAAAAAAAATAAAAATTTAATATATTTTCGTATTTATTAATTTTTTTAAAAATAATAATAAATATTTTATTATCTAAATATATTTAAGTAAGGTGTATTTAAAAAAGTAAAAAAAATATTTAAAACTTTAAAAATATTTATTAAAAATAAAAAATATATATATGAAAAATAAAAAATTAATTTAAAAAAAATTAAATTAAAAAAAGTAGTTGATTATAATTTATTTTTTTATCACTTCGTTTTATTTTATCTATGGATTATATAAAAAAATTAATTAAGCAATATTATGTATAGATCTTAAATGAATTATCAAATATTTTACCAAGCCTTTCATATGAGTATAGGACCATTTGTGTGGATCTTATAGTTTGAAAAAATATTTAATAATTCATTTAGAATCTCTAGCATTACTGATATTTATTTTAATTTTAAACTTGAATCACAAAATTATAAATTTTATTGATACTAGAAAAAATAAAAAAATATTGGATGCAAATAGGACCAATCACAAACACCATGGCTTTTTATGTTATCTCTCCATCACTCAATACACAAATGTAATTTCTACTCTCTCAACCAATGACACTTAGGCCTCGTTTAGGAACAGGTTATTTTAGTAATTTTTTAACTTTTTACGAAAAAATGTACAGAAAAGTAGAGAGGTGATGTGACAAATTTTAGTTAACTTTTTGACTTTTTGACTAAAATAGCCACTCTCCAAACGAGTCCTTATTCTATTCGCACTCAAAAATTTCTCGAAACAAAACACGATAAAATCATAACGAAAACATGGTCGTTAATGTTTTTGTTTGGGCCAGCTCATTATGAAATGTCCATAATTGGTGAACTGCCCACAACCCATCGCCCTACAATTCATGTGAATATGGAGATGTTGGTCAAAGCCCATAGTTCACTGGAAAGAAACCAGTTGAGAAAGAATATATTAAATTTTATAAAATTAATATAATTATATTAATGAGCTCACTATGACTCAGAGAAATGCCATTGCAAAATTTGGTAATTTGTTAAATTTTATAACAATTTTTGGTACTCCTACCAACTTCATTTCAAATTTGACATTATTACAAAATGATATAAAGATAACACATAATAAATATACATTTGGATGAGTTATTAACAAATTTTAATTTGAACATTACTAAAGTCAAAAAATTAGATTTAAGTTTTAAGCAATCAATTAGAATATTTAAAATAATATTTTTTACATATTTTTTTTTTAATTATTAATCATATCAATCAATCATATCAGTTACATATCATTAAATTTAAAAAATAAATTTGTATATCATCTTTTTAATTTTTTTGGTCTTGGAGAGACATTGGAGGAGCCATATCTCCCACGTTTTTAATATCTTGTACACAATACTAATGACCAGAGAGGGGTGTTTGGAGAAGATGGTTAAAAATTAATTTTTGATTTTTTAAAAAAAGTGATTTGAGAAGTTGATAAAAAGTTCCTTTCAACTTTTTTTTATTAATATTTATTTATGATATCACATCACAATAAAATGTCTAAAGTTTATATTTTCACCTATGTAAATATAAAAAATATATATAAAGGATATAATTGTAATTTTATATATAACTTTTTTGATCTTGTGTTGGCTGCATATTTTGTACAAGCCAGTTACAATTCGACGTGTGGCAAAGTAAGGGTAATATTGGGAGACCATTCAAGTCTTCGATCCTGATCGTACACGTGGCAGTTGATACTGGTTGTTATGAGCTCTGAGTAGCAGTAGATCAACAAAGAGATGCAAGGTGATGTGGCATTAGCGGTTACTCTTATTTAAATTCAAATTTAGGAAGGAAGCTTAACTGCAAATGATGGCATAGTGGAGCTAATCTTGAGGCTACATAATCAGCGATCATGGGGGAGCAGTTCGACTGTTGAAAATACAGTTCAACTGTCATCTTTGAGCGGTATAAATAGCAGAGAAGGCCCTAAAAAAAGCCCCGGACTCAGATCTAAAAAACCAGTCTTATTCTACTTTACTTTTACATACCCTGTTCTTTACATTCCAGTACTTCAAATTCTGCACTGCATTTTCATTCATAGGAGTAGTTTCAAATAGATTGTCGCTTCAAATCATTGTAAGTTTTTCATTCTAGTGAAATGCTTTAGATTTTCTTTATTTGATTGGTATTCTGTTTAAATTCACCTAAATCAAGCCACCAGTAAAAGTCCTCTTCATTGAGGCTGAGAGAACTAAAACACAGTCGTCTGATAATTGGTTGACAATTAAATTTCTGTAAGGACTAAATTGATCATTGCTGGCACGCTCGCAATCACAATAATAACCTTCGAAAGCCAAAAAGCCAACATATATTTTTGGCACGCCCAGTGGGACCGCATTTAAAATGGCTAGACGTAGGAGACAATGAGAAAATGAACGCTTGGAAGAAGGCGTGGAAGGAGAGGTAGAGATACCTAATCCAGAGGATAATGTGATAACACATCCTGTGGAAACTCCTATTTTATCGAAACCTATGGTCGAACAGACCAGTACTTCAGAACAAATACCATTTGTTCGTAATATTGGACGAGATCAAGGAATTGGACCATCCAATGTCCCATCTACTCAGTCAGTGAATCCATGGGGTGGCATAATAGATGCAATGGGACAGCAATTAATGAACACAATGGAAAGGTGGGCAACATCCTTTTTGGATCGAATGAATAACCACCAACTAACAAACGCAAGACACATGGAGAAAATTTCGAATGTCCCTCAGCAAAGATTGGCTAGAGATAAACAGCCTATGCAAGTTAATGGACATTTTAATGGACAAACTAGTAATCAGAACCATAAAAGACCATCACCTCAATCTTGGTACGAACCTGTTCCAAGGCTCGTTATAGGTCAAAATGTCTTAGTACTTAATAGTGAAGCCATGCAACTTGGTGGAACTGGCCCAATACAAGGAAATGGCATAAGAATGGTTCTGAATCCCATGTTCGAAGCCATACCTGGCACAAGGGGGTTCACTAATCCCTTATTCGAAATTATACCCGGGGGGTTAGAAGGTTTTCCTACAAATAGAAGAGACACAACACCAGTTCCAGCACCTTTCGCAGGTTCTTTCGTAGGACAAATTCAAAGGGGTTACCCACACCCCCAGCAGCAACCTGCACCACAGGAACAACCAGTCCCAAATATACCACCTTATGGACCAAGAGGACCACAAACACAAATTTGTCCACCAAATCCTGTGTTTGTTCCTCTGGCGGTGATTCAGCAGGCACAAAATATGGTCCCTAGGGACCAAATTGCTGACATCGTTAGGGAGATGTGTGGACCAATGGCTCGGGGGGTCCAAACTCCTGTATACAGAAAACCCTACCCAGAATGGATAGATAGGGTACATGAATATCCAAGAGGTTTCAGGATACCAGATTTCACCCTTTTTTATGGGAATGGAAGCCAGTCAACAGTAGAGCATATCGCTAAGTTCGCTGCTCAATGCGGTGAATTCACTAATAATGATTTTATGAAGCTGAGGCTGTTCCCAAATTCTCTAACTGGGGGAGCATTTGTATGGTACATTAACCTTACACCTGGCTCAATCCAAACTTGGCAACAAATGGAAGAGGCATTTCATTCCCAATTTTTCCAATCGGAGCCAGAAGTTTCCATGGCAGACTTGGCAAGGTTGAGTCAAAGGCCTGAAGAAAAGGCTACTCAGTTTATTGCCAGATTTAAAAGGGCTCGAAATAAATGTAGAGTCATTTTACCAGAGCTAGAATTCGTAAGATTGGCTCAAAATGGCTTAGAATTTAGGCTTCGAAAGAAGTTTGACTCAACAGAGTTCAGGGACTTAGTGAACTGACTTACAAAGTATCTAGCTATGAAGCATTACTAGAAGAGGAGCAGGATCGAAATAATGCATCATATAAGACATACTACAAAGATCCTAACTATGAGATTGATGCAGCAGAGATTGTGGGAAAAGAGCCTATGATCTGTGAAGCATTAATTCATAAGGATACGAAAATTGACCAGCAATTTAAAAAGAAAGATTTCCACAGGAAATATTCTTTCGATTTAATTAAGGCAGATGACATTTTTGATCATTTGCTTGCGGCCAACTTCCTTAAGTTACCAAAAGGGGTTAAAATTCTATCTCTTGATGAACTTAAAGGAAAAGTATATTGTAAATGACATTATTCTTGGTCTCACTCGACTAAAAACTGTGTTGTTTTTCGAGACAAGATCCAAGAACAAATTCGGAAAGAGAGTTTGAAATTCCCAACCAAAGCTGAAAAGGCCATGGGGATTGACAGTAATCCATTTCCAGAAATTGGAGAGGTGGCAGCCAATGTCATTATGCCAGATTTTCAGAACTTGTCTTTGAAAGAATTGGAAGAAGTCAATGTGCGGATGCATGTGGCCAACCAGACAACAATCAAGAAAGGCACTAGAGATCTACCAGCTATTGGACAAGGTTTCTCACACCAGAGGGAAAACTCTGAGGAACAAGCATTGGATGACGATTCCTTAGAAGCAGCTGTAATGCAAAGGATGTGTCCTAGGTGCAGACTAAGATACAAATGGTTGAAAGGACTCCCGACTGATGGGAAGCAGTACTACAAGGATGTGTAGAGACGTCCTAAACCAACTAATGCTTACAATAAAAGGCCATATCCATCTGGCGTTAGGCAGCAGCCCTTG